AAACACGAAATGACAGGTTAAATCGTAGTTATAATAGTCAATCAGCTGTTCATAGTATTATTATCTTTAAGTGTTGCCAACCTATTTCCAAGCGTGCACGGATTACGTGCATAATAGAACCACGCTGTTTTGTGTTGTTTCGTTGGAATCCTGATGTGCGGCAAAGTATAAACCGTATGGCAAAGTATAAACCGTACGGCAAAGTATAAATATGCAGTAATTAGCAGCTTTCTGTACTATAAACAGTACAAGGAAGCCAACTTTGTCGGGTGACTGTAGGAAAAATACTTTATGTTCAATCATAGACCAAACACTACTCCTTACAGCGTTCCCATAGTTTTTGATCAAATAAGAACGATAAGTATGTTTCACTCTTACAACCAAACAAAAAGATTTTTACAATCTATTGCTTATCCTTTGGTGAGTAACGCACGGTAAAAACCTGAAGTGAATCAAAACCATACATCAACGCACTCAAGTAGCCAAACATGTTGACCATCCACAGAAAGTTAATAATTCATTGTAAATATCTATACAACAAACACGATAGGACGCAGTAATTAATAGATCTAATGACCATGACGACATCTGAGGAACCTTCGGTATTCGCCGTTTACTCGCTAACGGCCGTCGTATGTTTTGGAATTCGCTTGTCACTAGTTAGCTGAGCGCAGGAAACTGCTTCTGTGACCCCAAAAGTTGACGTAACCCGGCTGAGTACTTTCTCGTGTTTACATTCTTCGGTAGATGCATTGGTTACTTTAGGACAGGCGTTGCTAAATTGGTTCAAGGGACTGAGTGGCAAGGAAACCCAATTAGGAGTTCTTGAGTTGACGTTGCCATACACATGGGTAATGGAATTCAGAAAAGAACGAAATATGATAGGTATTAAATATTTGTAATGTTATTGTAATCAATAGAGCATGAACATTTCTTTTTTTAGCTGAAGGATTTTTTTTAAGTACCGTGCTCATCGTTATAGGAATTCAAAGAACGAAATACTATAAGTATTAAATATTTTTTATGTCATTGTCGATGAATAGAGCGGAGAACATTTCTTATTTTTTGTAAAAACTGGACGATTTTTTTCATTTTGGTGAAGTTTGAGTGCCCTAACGTCGTTTTAACCAAATTTAGCTTATTGTTTGCTTATAATTCCGTAGAAAAAGCAAAACACCTTTACATTAACCGAATGGAACTAATTTAAGACTGTCCTCAGATAACCTATTCTATAGATAGTAAAATCTATAAAACATAATGGAAGCCATTTTTGGAGCTGACATTTAAAAGTGGACAATATACACCTGTGACAATATGTACCTGTGTGTATTGTGAATTAGCTACTAAATTGTAGGTAGAATTTGTTACAACGATGAAAATACAGCATGGTTCATCAAACCATGACAAAAACGACCCTCACTAATTTTCTGATGATCTTCAGGTCGTGTCGAAAAGAGCCACTTTGGGGCCGAAGTGTTGAAATATTCTAGATTGGATCACCTATTGCATTGTTGACATTTACATTTTGTTCACTCGAGTTGGCACCGAAAGGTGAACGTGGCGCATTGCGCGCGTGAGGGTGCGTGCGCGTATGCGAGTCACAGCGACGAGAGGTCAACTACGACTACGAGAGACGAGAGACGAGCACGCACAGAGGGTTCCAAGGTAATAAGGAAGATACAATCGCAGGATACACAGATCCGTGTGAACTTTCACAACAAACGTCAACAGCTCGGCAGAAACACGGCATACTCGTCGAAATTTCTAGTCTATTACATCTGCTTTTTTACTCCTTTAAGAACCTTTTCACGCCCAATTTAATTATATTCTCGTTTGCTCTAGGATTTTGGCGGAGGGAGTAATCCGAAAACAGAGAAATTTCTCATCAACCGGGAGATCTACTCTTTTATTGTTATCAGAACGTAAACCTACAGCTTGAGAGGGTTCCGAGCCAATGGGTCACTGAAACGTCGCGTATTTAAAGCTATAGGCAAATGTCGGGATTTGAACTACCTATCATCTCAAGCGCAGAAAGTCCACACTCTGATCCGCTCTGATCACTAGACGAATCGCCTCTAAATCTAATAAGAGCTTAATTGCAATTACTGTAATTACAAGGGACGTTTATGTAATCCATACCTGAAAGTATCGATTCTACGATCTAAAATTATATTGTAAGTACATACAACAATTCCATTACGCCCCCCCATAGAACATAAGAAACTTTACGCGAATAATAAGAGGAGGGATGTAAAGAATTGTCACCGAATTTATAATCCGAGTTGCGATTTATACATGAAAATTTTTATATCTCACATAAACGTGTGTAACACGTTAGTGATTCAAATGAGAAAGAAGAAGAGTAAAGAAATATGTAATTGTGTGGATCTACACAAAACAATGTATTGTAATTATAATGTTACATGTCATGTAATTTATAAAATACTTTACTATCTAAATTAATCTGTAATAACATAAACTTAATTCAACTCTTTATTACGTAAAAAATCTGTCATGTTTAATTCCATGCAGCCCTGTGATTGGTTGATACTTATGACGTAATCGACGCAATGTAATTCACAGTTTTTGTAACCAAGGCAGTTAAAACCCAATCTAACGCTATTGTGTTCCCACAGTAAAAGTACTGTAGCTTTTTACATCGCGCGTAAAAGACCCTGTTCGCTCATTACATTTCCGGTTACGTCAGTAAAATAACGAAACTACCACATAAACTGTAATTAACTGAGTGGAAAATATACTGGACATTGAACTAGCTTAGGTTTTTAGTTCTCTAATATAACAGAAAACACCTCTGTTGTCACTACTTGTGAGGATTTCCTCAAAGATTGTCACTGTATAAAAGGCGACAAGACACAGACACATTTTCGTTTATTTTAAAACGATATTATCTTAAAATTGAGGTGGTACACGATTTTTATTGATTTGTAGGAAATACTAGAAAATCAAGTCCAGTCAAATAATCTTTATTCATTGGGAACATAAATACATTGAATGGCGTCAACTGAAAAGGAATAAAACTTGGATTTAAAATATACAGTGAAAACTTGCATGTGTCTCATTGATAAATGTTAATACAGCCTAATTATGTTGTGAATACAGATTTTCAAATAATTATAGGATATTCAAAATGACATGGACTAAGTGTAATCAAATCGTCCCTAAAATGCAAATTGTATGTTAAATACGAAAATGCAATTTTTTAATAATCTTAACGGCCAGCGGAAGCATCATTTAACTACACCTAACACGTAGGATGAAAATAAGTATAGTTTACACTGGGCTACCATTAAACATACTTAACGAAGAAATCGAACACTTTTAAGTGAAGGTCGTACCGGCACGGCATCATCGCGTGACAGCTTTAGAGGTCTTTGGACATCAATCGTGGTTAATGCAAACATCGCCAACTTCTGAAGTCTTTGAACATCAATCGCGGTAAATGCAAACATCACCAACTTTTGAGGTCTTTGAGTATCAATCTTGGACCTTGGTGCAAATATCACCAGCTTTTGAGGTCTTCGAGCTTCAATCAGATTGTTAATTGCAAAGAAAGCTAACTTTTGCGGTCTTCTAGCATCAATTATTGAATACCGCCAACATTTGTGGCCTTTGAACATCAATTTGCGAACGCAAACACCGCCAAACGTCCAAGGACAGACGAATTGTTCTCGGTCTATTGGAAGATTGCCTTAATAGCTTCATCACCGGTTTAAAAGCTCATGTGAAAATGCCGAGGAAGTATCCATGACGGTAATTGTAGTCGGCAAAGCTTCGCTTGTCACGCTTTGCCGATTTACCCGTTCATCGTTAATTTGCGTTACTCTCATCATTGTAACGTGTTACAGTCCAGCTCGGGTAACGTTTTGGTTGCGATTTTAGATTTCACTTTTGGAAGTTTCGAATATTGATAGGACTACGAACGGTTAATATTTCTTTACAGCCTTATTTGAGATTTTAAAATCTCCAAAGGTTTTTTAGTTTTGTTTGCCAGGATGCTGCCGAAGTCAAAACATCGCACCGATACAGTTTATTAATATTATGAGTCCTGTAGTAGCCTATGTTAACGAATTTTAAACATTGTTATATCAATTAGGTTATTTGATTGTATAAATTCAATTATTTAAACTAAGTTTATCGATTTAGTTTTGGGTTCAACTAGATTTTAGTCTATCAGGTTCTTTTTTCTTTGTAACAACAATGCAAACAAAGCCAACTGATTCTTTAGGCTAGATACTGTACAAGAAATGTATGGGCCATTAAAAGTCTTTTCATTTCAAGTTATACTAAAAAAATGATAAATGTAGAATTTTAAATCAATTTCCATGTGAACCTGTTTTCAGAATCATTCATAATAATTGTTAAGCTAATTCTTTCAAAAAAAAAAAAAAAATATATATATATATATATATATATAAAATTTACTCACTTTTCTCGTGTTCTCAATTCAGTTAATTACTATACAGAGTGTAACTATTACAATCATTGTCAAAATGCTCTCCAATTGAGAAGCTTTGAATAAGGTTAATGGACTTTTTTTTTGTCCTTAGGACGCTAGGCACGAGTCTGGGATTGTTTTTCACATTACTTCAGGCTAGACCTAGGGGTTGCGGCATTATCACTTAGATAAAATCCATTGGTGACTTGGCGGGGATCGAACCCGGGACCTCAGGGACTGAAGTCCCACGTTCTAACCACTACGCCAGCTCGCTCCCCCATGTAAGGTTAATGGACATTGAAAACGAATAAGGTGAAAATGAACCTTTCGAAAACAACTCAAGTGAACAACGTATTAGTATTAAGGATATTTTGACTTTTAAAACACATTGGCTTGTATTGGGTATAGCACTTACTCAAATCTGCTACTATTATTCAGAGGAATTCAATATTATAAATTTACTGATGAATCAAAATACGAATAACTAAAGCTAATCGACCATTAGATGATGTAGGAAGACGGAAGACTTCCTAAGAAGACTTACTTCAAGGTGACGGCCTCCAAATGGTTCCACGACGACTCGAAATCCTTCGGCATCCCCTCCTAGAACAGAAAGGTCAAAGTCAGAGCCACGGGGAACAAACACCTCTAGAATGTAATTGTGGGTTTTGGTTTACGAGGTATGTGGGAAAATTCACAAACCCAACTTAGTGATCTTCTAGAGTTCAGTTTTAGTGTTTACTTTATACTGCTAACGTGGTTGCATAGTTTGGTGGTATAAGGCTATCTTTGAGTCAATAAATTTCTCTCATCAGCTTATTGGAAAAATTATTGGGAAACTTAATTGTTAGGATTTTTTTGAGAGCATACCCTTTTTGGTGTTAAACACTTATGTTTTTGGTATTAATTATTGAAAATGAACACAATATTATGCCGTATCTTTGCATAGCAGTTTTCAAATCTATATCTTTTTAACTATCGCAAAGGCAAAATACCTGTAGTGGTCTGAAATATTATAGTGACGGAAATAAGCTCAAATAGCGGAAATTTTGAGCTGAATATTATTCAGATGCAAAATGTTCTAATACCTGAAACCTCTGAATTTCATATAAATCTAAATCCTACAAATGTAGGATTAATTAATTAAAATTAACGACAACACACTACAAACACTACTGCATTGTGCACTGTACTGTCCCCGGCAACCCTACTCCTCAGCATTGCGCCAATTAAAAGACAATTAAAGACTATAGCAACCCAGCAGACGCACAGGCAGAGTTTGTCTATGCCTACTGATTCCGCAGACCAATTACTAATTATTGAACTAGCTACAAAAATTATTAAGTTAATTTATGTTCCTCTTGTTATTTTTCATCATTCACAGTAGAGGCAATAGGGCAATATGACGCCACTTTAGGCACGTTTTCCCCATAAGAATAACATGGTGAGCTTTTTTTGACCACTTTTTAAAAAATCCAGCTCTCAGTCTATACAAGCCTATATAAATGTTCAATACCATTGTACAACTCCATTACAATTTCAAATGCATATCCATTCGCATGTATATTCACAAAATCATCAACTTGACAGTGCGAGGTTTGTACGCGAACTCGGGCGCGCTCCCCCATATAAAATGCATGCTACCCATATAAAATAATGTTAAATTTTTTTCTTACTTTTTGATTTTTTTATGTTGTAATATTGTTTATAATCAAAAGTTGACACCCACTACGTTTGCCAGAATTTCAACCGTTTTGCCGTATCTCAAGCCGTTTTCGAGATATAAGCGTTTTTAGATAGTTTTACGGACTTAGACGATTTTTCATGGTAAATTTTATTTGTACCCATATAAAATAATGTTAAATTTTTTTCTTACTTTTTGATTTTTTTATGTTGTAATATTGTTTATAATCAAAAGTTGACACCCACTACGTTTGCCAGAATTTCAACCGTTTTGCCGTATCTCAAGCCGTTTTCGAGATATAAGCGTTTTTAGATAGTTTTACGGACTAAGACGATTTTTCATGGTAAATTTTATTTGTACCCATATAAAATAATGTTAAATTTTTTTCTTACTTTTTGATTTTTTTATGTTGTAATATTGTTTATAATCAAAAGTTGACACCCACTACGTTTGCCAGAATTTCAACCGTTTTGCCGTATCTCAAGCCGTTTTCGAGATATAAGCGTTTTTAGATAGTTTTACGGACTTAGACGATTTTTCATGGTAAATTTTATTTGTACCCATATAAAATAATGTTAAATTTTTTTCTTACTTTTTGATTTTTTTATGTTGTAATATTGTTTATAATCAAAAGTTGACACCCACTACGTTTGCCAGAATTTCAACCGTTTTGCCGTATCTCAAGCCGTTTTCGAGATATAAGCGTTTTTAGACAGTTTTACGGGCACTGCCACAAGGGCCAAGTGAAGCGGTCACGAGACTGGGGAATCCTCAGGTGGTGACGTCACCGGGGACGAGCCTATATATAGAAGTGGCATCCGGGTGATATTTCATTCTCGAGCGTGATGCCGACCTGTCAACACTGCTCCGCCTCGCTGTCCAAGAAGAGCAATTTGGTCCGCCACTACAAGCTAGTACATCAAATGAAGGTGAAACTGTGCAAGGTATGTGATTTAATCTGTGATGATAATGTGGTTCTAAAATCGCATATATTACAAAGTCATAAGAATTGTAATTTTTGTAAGAAAAATGTGGTTGGTCATTTTAAAAGACATGTCAATTCTTGCAATAATTGTCCATATACAATGATTGAATTTGTTGGTGAATCGATTAGAAATGAACTTAAAAATACTCTTCAGTCTTGTCCTCTGCCGATAAAATGGACTTTAGTAAGGAGAATTAAATTTATAAAATATTCAATGGATCAAAATGGACAATTAGTTAATGAAAAAGAATGTATTGCAGATTTTAGAAGCCTTACCACCTTAACTATTGAGAAAAAAGATTTAATTCACCAAATTGAAAATGCTCTTTTAAAGATTGACGCTTCCATGCACAAATACCAATCCCAGGGCAGTGGATGGATATATGACCATACTAAATATTGGCAGTTGCATGTTTATAAGTATAAGCCATTAACTCCAAAGTCATACATTCCCACACCAGAGAGTATTAAATTGACAAAAGCAGTTTTAAATATAAAAAATGTTGATAATAAATGCTTCCTTTGGTCAATTTTAGCAGCTTTATATCCACAGAACTCTAATGAACATGCTAATAGAGTCTCTAATTATGTACCCTATGAATGTCAGTTAAATATGACAAATATAAAATATCCCGTAAAAATATCTGATATAGATAAATTTGAAAGACAAAATAATATAAGTGTTAATGTTTTTGGAGTTGAAGACCAGAAATTAATATATCCATTAAGAACAACTAAACTTAATAGTAATACTCATGTAGATTTATTATTATTACAAGAAGGTCGTAAATCACATTATTGTTTAATTCGTGATTTTAATAGGTTAATGCTGCGGTCTACAAAACACGACCATAAGAAGCATTTTTGTAAGCTGTGTTTACAACATTTTTACACTAATGATAAATTGGAGCGTCATATAACATATTGTAAAAACTTTGATGCCCAACGAGTGGAAATGTCTAAACAAGATACATTACAATTTAAAAATTATAAATATCAACTTAAAGCCCCATTTGTGATTTATGCAGATTTTGAGTGCTTTATAAACTCAAATAACCATACTCCATCTGGATTTGCATTTGTTGTAGTGAAAGAGTCTAAGATTATTTCTGAAGAGTTGTACAGTGGTACAAATGTTATGGATGTGTTTTTTGAAAGATTATTTGAGACTTATGACTTCATTAAAAGTCAAATGGCGATATATATTCCCCTGGTAATGACTCCAGAGCAAGAGGCGTCTTTCCAAAACTCAACACATTGTCATATTTGTGAAAAGCCCTTATATTTTGATAGGGTGAGAGATCATTGCCATTCCTCTGGGCAATACCGTGGAGCTGCCCACAATGATTGTAATTTAAACTATAAAGTAACAAAGAAAATACCAGTATTCTTCCATAACTTGAAAAATTACGATGGGCATTTAATAATGCAACACTTGGGAAAGTTTAATCGTAAATTAAATTGCATAGCTAAAGATATGGAAAAATATATATCATTCTCTGTAGATGATTTAGTATTTTTAGATTCATACAACTTTCTGTCCCTTCCATTATATAAATTGGCTTCCAATTTAAACACATTTAGATTCATACAAAATCCACTACTACAACGTAAAGGTGTACTTCCCTATGAATATATGACGGGACCAGATAAGTTTGCAGAGTCTCTACCCCCAATTGAGACATTTTATAGTACTCTAACTAAAGAACATATCTCTCCCAATGAATATGAACATGCTAAAAATGTATGGTCCCATTTTAATATAAATAATTTACAAGAATATCATGATTTATATCTTAAAACAGATGTATTGCTACTGGCTGATGTCTTTGAGACTTTTAGAGACCTGTGTTTAAAGGATTATAAACTTGACCCCGTACATATGTATTCACTTCCTGGATTAACATGGGAGGCCTGTCTTAGAATGACTGGTATAAAATTACAATTATTTCAAGATATTGACATGCATTTGTTCATAGAAAGTGCAATCAGAGGAGGAGTTAGTATGATTTCCACACGTTATGCTAAAGCAAATAATAGATATATGGGTGAACACTATGATCCCAATCAAGAGAGTGTCTATTTAATATATTTAGACTGTAACTCACTATACTCTACAGCAATGTGCGAGCCACTGCCTGTGGATGGATTCCGTTGGACTAATGAGATAGACTACAAATACAATCAAAATGATGAGTTTGGATACATTTTAGAAGTTGATTTAAAATATGATAAAAGCTTACATGATTTACATAATGACTATCCATTAGCACCTGAGAAAATGAATGGCAAATTAATACCTAATTTAAATGACAAAACTAAATATATTTTACATTATAAAGCATTACAAAAATATGAGGAATTGGGTTTGATTGTTACAAAATACCATAGAATTTTAAAATTTAGACAGTCTAAATGGCTTGCGTCCTATATTAATTTTAATATTGAAAAACGCAAATGTGCTAAAACTGATTTCGAAAAAGACTTTTACAAATTGTTAAACAATTGTCTCTTTGGTCGAACAATTATGAATCAACGAAAGTTTCGTGACATATATCTCAAGGATGAGTCACTATTAACAAAATATGTCACTAATCCAAGGTTTGATTGTAGCAAAAAGTTTGATAACAATTTACATGCTATACATTTAAATAAATTAGTTGTAAAGTTTAATAAACCTATATATTTAGGAATGACAATTTTGGATATCAGTAAAGTAATAATGTATGATTTCCACTATAATTATATGTCAAAATTTAAGAACAAAAGATTTCTTATGACAGATACGGATTCTTTAATGTATTCTATAGTTACAGAGGACTTTTACAAGGAAATAGAATGTGACTTGCACTATTTTGATACCTCTGGATATAGTAAAGACCATTTCTTATACTCTGATAAAAATAAAAAAGTCACTGGCAAGTTCAAAGACGA